CGCTAGTCTTCTGGCCGTTTTCAAGCCCGGGAAGAGAGAGAGAGAGAAAGTTGGATGTGGAGCTAGCGACCCCTACCCCGAAAAATCAGTCAAATTGCTAAAGGAAATTCAAAGCACAAGAAAGGCATTAAAAATCATCCTACAAAGTTTATTTATAAACAAGGGCTATATCCTTTTGTTACTCGGTGGATGCTGACTAGTACAGTGCAATCAAAGATGCGTATTTCTACCCATTTGGGACTCGTCAACCGGATAAAGCTGCATTCACAGTGAGTGATGCCGTCGCCGACCGATTACACTTGAACCCAGTATGCATCATTTCAAACTCTGCAGAATTTGACATTCATATTGGTCACCGTTTATCAACATTGCTCGTCTAATATGGCTTAACTGAAAGGCTGTTGAAATATTCCAAATGATCTTTCTAATGTTCAAATCGCCTCAGTCTGTTTTGTGAGCAATACCGACTGACTTAAATGATGATCCTTAACTAAACATCTGAATCAGTAGTCTGGGTCACTATGCAAAGTTTAACGATGTCAATTGAATTTTATTTTTTAATGTATATGTATGTATACTTTGCCGATGGTAGCGCAGTGGTAAATTGCTCGCCAACCCACACGCGTGGTTCATGGTTCGATCACCCGCCACTGAACGCACTTCCTTACATCGCTCGCTAAGCCAGTAATAAGACTGATCAGGAGGGAAGGTTGGGCGTGCATGAGGCTAGCAACCCCATGCCGTAAAAATAAACACCATTGCTACTGAAATTTCAAGCCTTTAGCTTGAAGGCACCCTATTTTCCACCATTGAGAACGTAACGGATTGAAATAAATCATAATAATAATAATAATAATTATGTATAAACTTAAGAATTTGTACAGACTAACTACTTGCGTCTCTGTAACGTTTATTACTCTACAGTGAATAAAGGGAACTATTGTCTTACTCTATGATTAATATACATGGTAAACGGTTGAATATATACAAAGGAAGAATTCATAGAGGCACTAAATTCAGGCCCAATTGGCTTAAATTTCAATAAGCTTGATCAGTGATAAACGAGAAGACAAAGATATCCTGAACCAACGTGAAGAACCTAGAAGACCTGGATTTCGCACGTGGATGATTTACGTTTGATATCACTGTCACAAAATCAAAGACTTAAAAACGAAAAACCAACTAGCTGATCGAAGAAGCAACCGGCGAAGATAGGACTCCAGGTGAACATAGAAAAGACGGAGGTTATGAAAATAACCAACCAACCAACAACAACAACAGCAACATCCAGCGTCAATCACCATCAACGGGAGTGACTTGAAAGAGGTTACTTCATTCACTTATCGAGGAAGTATTGTCTCAACTACAGGATGAACGGGGGAGGATATCAAATCGGGATTCGGGAAGACGAGAAACACATTCATCAACCAGATGGCCGGAATCACCAGAATCACCAACAAGAATCTATGGGGACCAACAAAACAAGAACCAATCGTCCAACACAAATATGCAGGAGAAAGTGGAGATGACATATTTGACACTCGCCGACGAGGCCACTGGGTGACATCGCGCACGCGTCAGGTCATTGCTCGAGTGGAATTGGAAAAGTAAGCAGCAAGTGAGACGTCCAAGGATGACGTGGAGGAGATCATGTGAAGAGGAGTTGGAACAGTATGTATGGACTAACATGGATGCAGGTGTAAAGTACAGCAGAAGACAGAAGCAAGTGGAGATGGGGAGTTGAAGCCCTATGTTCCACTAGGAACCCAAGGGAACAGTAATAATAATAATATAAGTAACCTGAAGGTTCCTGGAGTTGGATCCTTGATTGGGTTGTGGATGTGTCTCAAACTCGGTCGAAACAACCGCACAATACGTTTGACTAATGTTGGTTCGTGACGAAGTGTACATTGTAATATCATACAGAGCAGTTAGCTATTCTGTGTGGAATTCAGTTATGTATTATATTCATTATCTTCCATTTACAAGGGAATATAAACCAATGGGATCATTAATATCCATTAATTTCAGTAGATATCTTTATGAGTAGTTGAGAACATATGCCTGTTAAAATAACGTAATCATTCCTACCTCAGTGGTGTAAAGTGGAACCTTTTTGGATGATGCACCCATTGCGTTAAAAACATGAGTTTCTTCATGCATATATAAATGAAAGCAGGCAAAATTAAATTTACATTCAAGTCAGGAAATGAATAACTGGAATTAGCTGTTTTTGGTTGTGAAATAAGACGACATGCTGGCTTCTTGTGCAAATTTAATAAAAAGATAATTGGAGGATGGTGGCTAGCAGTGGAATCCAGGACAACGCGCATTTCTTCCTACTCGGGACTCATCAACTAGCGGGATGTACCTGGATTCTCAGTGAGTGATGATGTTCCCACCGAGGCTCGAACCCAGTGCCCATAATTTCAAACGCCAAAGCGTTATCCACTAGACCACTTGGGCCACGAGAGCCACCTCTTGTGCAACGGGTCATATTAATTATCGAATTGAATTCTTGATTTTCCCGTCGATTGATTGGACCGAAGTGCTCGGTCTCAGGTTGACATGTCGGCTTCTTGTGCAGATGCTTCGATGATGTCTGGGGATTTGATTTGTATACAATTGGTGGATGGTGGCTAGCAGTGGAGTCCAGGATAACGCGCATTTCGTCCTAATTGGGACTCGTCAGCTGGATGTACCTGCATTTCTCAGTGAGTGATGATGTTCCCACCGAGGCTCGAACCCAGTGCCCATAATTTCAAACGCCAAATCGTTATCCACTAGACCATTTGAGCAGCGAAGCATCTGTACAAGAAGCCGACATGTCAACCTTATATCGAGCACTTTGGTTCAATCAGTCGACGGGAAAATCAAAAATTCAATTCAATAATTAATATAACCCGTTGCACAAGAGGTGGCTCTCGTGACCCAAGTGGTCTAGTAGATAACGTTTTGGCGTTTGAAATTAAGGGCACTTGGTTCGAGCCTCAGTGGGAACAACATCATTCACTGGGAAATGCATGTACATCCCGCTAGTTGACGATTCCCAAATACGACGAAATACGCATCCTGGATTCCATCCACCAATTAAGTCTGACCACTCCTTTCGAACAAAAACTTTTTTGATTCAATGCACAGAGCTGAGTCATTTTTAAACGCCTGAACTCTGACAGACTAGACAGCCTGAAAGCCAATCATTTTCTTTTCAAAGACTCAGTTTTATATTGAAGAACCCATCGTGAAATGGAAAGTTTTAAGACCACAATGCATGATTTACTTCATGATAAAAGTGATGTCAATATTGTCATTCCTCTGGTTTCCCCTGGAATATGGGATTTCAGCAGCACAGATGTTTTAAGCTCTCTCCACAAGTGTATTTCAGCTTTCAGTGTCTTCTCATACGACTTCCTCAATGTCACTCTTGAACCTACGCCCCATTCAAATTCCACTATAGGGCTTGTCTCGCTCGTAATGTCACTGAGCATGGTCTCCTCAGTGCATTCCCAGTCCATCGATCTTTACTGTCCTCAGCATAATTTTTGGGCAGTAGGTTCTGTGACGGTCCGTTAACGGAGTTCCTTTAACTTATTAAATAGTCAGTAGAGCAATTGGATCTCGTCTTCCCAACTCACATCATTTATAAGTACAACGTTTTCTTTCTTTCTTTTCCTTTTCTCTCTCTCTTTTTTCTGTTATGTGCTGCTTTGTTTCTTTCTTCGTTACAAACTCTATTTAAAACATTATTCTTCTTTCTTTCTCACTGTGTATATCTCGGCTTTTTGTCGCCGCTTACGCCAGTAAATATGCTACCATCTACTTTTCTAACACCTTCAAACACTCAGTTCAATTTTTGGCTTTGCTACCGACATGCTAATATGTTGTTGTCAAAACTAACTGAGATAACCTTAATCAATGTAGAACTTTATTTATTGTTAATGTACAAACTGGATGCGATACTGTAGTGAAATGCTGAAAATTCCATTCTGTATCACAAGTACTGTTTTGGAATAAAGCTATTACCTTATCCTATCTTCCTGCTGATGATCTGATAAAAGGAAGGAAGGAAGCGAAGTGGGCAACTATTGTCAAAAGTCAGCATACTGTCAGAAAGATATCAGTAGACATCATACAATGAAAGTGCCAGCGAGTGGACAACTGACCCGCTCTAGTTTGGGGCTGATGATTGAGCAAAGGAACAACCACGACCAGATAGTACACTTGTATTTTACCTGACAATTATTTCGCATTACTTGATTTCACTCTTATGAAACTTCTCATATTTCAGAGATATACCAAAATTAGTGAAACGTTTTGGTGGGAGATCTTTACCAATTGAAAAAATTGCCCTCAGAAAATCTTCACGCTACTTTTCACAGAACAAAACGTTAACACTTCCAGCCTTAGTATGTTCACTAACTGTATATGTATATAATATTTGATAATTTTCTATAAATATATACACACGTAAACTGATTATATTATGGTAAATAAGTAGTATATCATGCAGCATAAATATTCTGGTAAATGAAAACGTCATGTTCTTTTTTCAGGGTGTTTGCTATTCACTTCCTTAGAATGCCAGCCAGAAGATCTACGGCTTTTCAACGCTATATTTATGTATACGAACTTCTTCAGCACTGAGATAGGGTTTTCTTTATATCGGTTTTAGGTTTTATCTTACACAAAAGTGAGATCTATTCATCTAACGACACAGAACTACGAATTCTTGTGATCAGGATAGCAAGAGGTATTATCAGGTTTGACTCACGATCTAATTTGTACCCACCTATTAAAGTCTTTTGTCAAGTGGCGGTCTCACTTAGGCTTTTTGTATACTGATTTGTTGAATGTCCCATAGACCTTCTTTGTTAGTCAAACATATAGAAAGGAGACTGCTTTTCCAGTTTCTACTTCAATCGGGCCAAGTTGAACTTTAAGCACTACAAACTACCAATCAGCGAACGACCTTGAATGGTCCAATGAGGTATATGCACGTGAGTTCAAGGTTGTTTAGTGCTTGATTCGTATTAAATGCGTGCTCTAACGAACTTACGCTTGCAGTCCCAGGAGGATAAGATTTTGCAGTATTGCCTGGATTTGGGGTTGCTTAGGAAAGAGAGGATTTATTCATGTGGTGCTGTTATGAGTTTAAAAAGCTATATCAGTTTGATTGGTGGATATGTCCATCGTTGTGCAATTTGTTTGAGACGAGTTAGTATTAGAGAAGGTAGGCTTATAATTCGAATATTTCGCAGGGACATTTTTTGCCTAAACCGGATTTTGTATATTTGTAACTTTTGGGTTTTAAAACAGCCAGTGAGAGGCGCATTCACTGAAATTAAAAAAGCCTCGTGTCAACAATTCAGTGCTACCAGCACTGCAGAGATTATCGCATCATGGAAAATGGAGAAAAGGACTTCGTCGTTAGGCGAAGAAGGCATCGTGAGCGAGTCAACAATGTTTGGATGATTGATTTATATTACACCTTCCGACGGAAAGGATTCGAGCAGAGAATACGAGACAGAGAGTCAACTACTTTGATGCCTATTATTACTAGACTTGTGAAACAGGGATCCATAATACATATTGATGAATGGAAAGGCTAAAACTCGCTGTCGTCTCTTGGATATATTCATCACAGAGTGAACCATTCGAGTGATTTTGTGGATCCCATTACAGGGAAACACAAATTCACTAGAAGGAATTCGGGGAAGATTGAAAAATAAGATTAGGGCTATAAATGGATATCAAAAGGATGTTACTTATTTATGGTCATTTGGATGAATATATGGACAGAATGTGATGTGACTTTTCTATTGACACTCCCATATCAAACTGGGAGATGTTTCTGTCACATGTTAGAGAAAGATACACTGTGTACCAGTTTTATGCATTTTTTATACTTTTTTTTCCATAAATATACGTTTTCCTTTATCAAATATCCCTCATTTATGTGATTGGTCCGTTGAAGGTCGTTCGCTGATTGGTAGTTAATGGTGCTCAAAGTGTAGCTTTGCTTTCAATCGTAAATTTGATGCCTATCACAAACTTGTTACACATTGTTCAGGTCATATTTATTATCACAAATGATAGAAACACCATCCATATACCTTTTGTACAGATAAAAGGTGTTGATAGTCGATTTTAATGGATCATTTCCTGAAATTACCACGTGATCACGAACAGGTATTAGTTCGGCAACAGTTGTAAAGCAGGAAGTATTGGATATCTGGTTAATCCAAGTTGAAGATTGTTCAAAAGTACCTGAGTACTGTCATGATATCTAAAACCCTGCAGGTGTTATCTGGCGAACCCCTCGACTATTAATCCATTGGGAACAAATAATTTGCGACCATAAATTCTAAATAATTCTGATTTTGAGGTAGGTGACTTCCTTACACCCAACTTACTAGAGCTTACTGGTCATGATATCTCGCTAGAATTCTAGAAACAATATTCTATAGTCAATCATTGTATTGTTTGTTATATTATGGCAGACTGTTCAGGTGTTTTATCTTGAACCGGAATGGTTACCAAGTGAGCTTCTGAAAACGCATAAAGGGTTGAATCAAGGAGGTATGTGTTATGTAGGCATGACTCCATTATTCGGACACTAAGTTGGCAGTACAGTGAACTATGCAACTTTATTTCTGTATTCATAATGTAGAATTACTTTTAGAAACCTCTTTTGAATTCTTCCAGTCAATACTGGTGACTAGGGATTCAGAAAATTTATCTCGAAATATATCATATATGGAGGGATTTTGTTCTAAGTGTATATTTGAATAAGGCATTAAGAAGACAAATTTCGCGAGATGATATCGTCATTTCGTAGTTTCTTTACAACCGCTTTACAACTAACATGGTTAACAATGATAAAATAAAGTTCATGAAAATTACTCAGTTAAATAAAAACAAAAGTACATACTAATGACCAATCATATTTAGATACGTCATGTAGTCCAGGGTAGGCGAAGATTGAGGTCTATTGATTTTTGCATACACAGTTTAGGCTGTATGTGATTAATCCAAAGTGCTTCCATCACCTTCAATAACCAACCTTGAATAAGAGTTATGTGAAATAATTGTGAAAGAGTTATTATTATTGATTTTGTGACCAGACCTACCAGACCTAGGTAGGTACAGGAATCGAAAATGTTCTGCAAGTGAGAAAAAGAGATGCGGCGTAGAATGCGCGTTTGATGGCTGATCGAAGTCTTTGAGTTGTCAACTGCATAATCTGGTCGCCCTTGAATGGTAGATTAATAAAGATGGCTTTCCGTGATACAGAAGCTGTCTTTTCGAGATGTGGTTTTTCTTTGCTGTGACAAGTGATAAAGCTCTCCGGGTAACCATTAGCTAATAAAACTGAATGTACATATCGAAGCTCATCCATCAGTATGTCACTCGTGCATATTTTTCGGGCCCTTGAGAACAAACATTTCACTAGGGAACGTTTATACTGGATAGGAACAAAACTGGTAAAATGAAGATATTGTCCAGTCCATGTCTGTTTACGAAAAATAGATCGCTGAATCGTTCCATCATCTCTCCTAGTTAAAGTAATATCCAGGAAACCGAGTTTGTTATTCGATTCTAGTTCGAAAGTCACTCGAATATTTGGATGAATATGATTAAATAGAGTAATGAAGTTTTCAATAGATTTACTATTATTACCAATAATAAGAGTATCATCTACATAACGTTTATACAGCATAAATCCCCCAAGCATACCTTGCATTTGTTTCTCTACTTTCCACATAAATATATCTGCTAACAGGGGCCCCAGAGGGCTCCCCATCGCAACACCATCGATTTGTTTATATGCCTTTTCTTGGAATGTGAATCTAATATTTTCTGTACACATTAAGACGATGTCTTTGATGTAAGTGACGGGAATGGGTAAGTTTATGCCGTCGCTTGTGATGTAATCGCAGATAAAATCAACGGTTTCATGAAGTGGAACATTGGTGAATAAAGATCCTATATCAATTGAACACATAACCTTTTCTTTAATGTTCAAGGTGTCCAGCATTTCTGTAAGATCAAATGAACTTTTTACAGAATGATTTGATAATGAGTCTCTTACAGCCGTAAGAACCTCTGTAATCCATTTGGCGATTTTATGGTAAGGAGAATTTGACATGTCTAAGATGGGTCTCAGTGGGTCCCCAGTTTTATGGATCTTCGGAAGACCATAAAGCTGAGGAGTATGTGACCCAAGTGTATATGATCGATTTCGAGATAAATTGTACTAAAGATTTTATACTACTTTAAATGTTTTAAGTAGTCAAGCACATTTATTGAATTAAATGATTGCTTTTGTTTCAGGAGTTAATATTTATTTGGAATGGATTTAAAATGATTCAATCACAACCAGATGCTATAACAACATTTATTATGATATGTGAAAATAAAATCAATGAACTGTTTCAAAACAGAGGTAACAGTTAGATATCCTCTCCTTTTATTATTAATTTTTGTTATTCATGAAATTTTGTAGTGGCCGATTGAAAAACTGTTAGGTCATTAGTCAACATACTAAGTGCTACCTTTTCAGCCATAAATATGCGTAATTTTCAATGTGTTATTTTTCAAGGATCTAAGTGATTTCAAATTAGACAACAGACTGATATCTTCACACATTTATTCCCGTTTATATGAATTTGAGTAAGGCAAGAACAACAGCGGTTTGTGCAGAACAAAATGATACCATCATTGCTTATTTCGTTGGCTTCTCATCAGATGTCGCAGACAACCTAAAGACATTATTAAACAGTATATCTACAGAAACAATTTTAACACATCTTCTCAATGTCTTCTTCGATGAGTTACTGCCCCGCCTTCAACCCGAAGCCCCCTACTGGTCTTAGCATCCCACAGAACCCCAGATCAGCTGCCTGAATAGGATCAGTCGCTAGTGAGCATCAGATGATGAAATCCTCCTTCCAGTCATGCAAAATCCTTACAAATTAACCCTCGAAAATTGATCTAATGTTCACTAGAGACTGGCCCTTTTCAGGCAATAAACCTGAGGTTCTAGTGGGAAGCCGTGACCAGTAGAATACAGCAGGTTAAAGATGAGGCATTAACTCATCGAAGAAGACATTGGCTAGTGGTCGCGCTATTGCATGAATATGGAGAAGTTAGAGTTCATGGACTGGTCATCGGCTCCTATCCCAGTGGCTTAATGGTCTATGAGCTTGTTAGCCTTGTAACCAGAAGGTCCTGGGTTCGATAGTGATAAAGAGTTCCGAACTAGGACGAGAGAGCTATTCACTGTTCCCAGGTTTTCCAATGGTTCTTTAGCTGATGTCAGCTCATGATGACATCTTCCAACCAATCAGGCATTATCCTTACACAACCAATACTTGAAAATTTTGACATACTTGCACAGAGTTCATTTTTAAACAAAAAGTCAATATATGCATACAATGCTAATAATAACTACACAAAACGAGATACTCCGGCGTTACGTAATCAGATGAATGAGGGGCTGAAAGCATCCAGTTACGAAGGCAAGGAAGGACTGATAACCGCTTCTTTCTGAACACACACATGAATCGAGTTTCAGGTACTAGATGGAGATTGCTTCGGCAACCTCGAGGAGAATTAAACTCCTTTGCCTATCGATAACTTTTAACGATTTTGCGACATCAACTTCAAAACCCTTGTCAAGAAGATGCTTGGAGATGGCACTATTAAAAGCATTTGTTCCTTTGAAACATAGGACTTTTGGTACATGTTCAGAAAATCAGAGGTTTACCCATCCATTTTTTCTTCTAATGTAACTGCTCCTGTAAATATATTTGGAGTTATAATGGGAACAATATCTGTCGAATTTTGATTTCACCAAAGAGGAAGCTTTTGAAAGGACGGCTGTGGTTAGAGACGTCTTCGTTTTTTCTACTGACAACTGTTGTAATATTTTCGCCTTTGAAATCTAGTTGAATGAAGACAGGCTTTCTTCCCACTGTGATTTGTTTGGCATTTGAGACCTCTTATCTTCTAAAGCTTTGAGATTAACCGTTGTTTTTCAACATCTTTTCGTGAAACATTAATTCTTTCTCTAATTCCTCTGCAGAGCATATTCTCCTAGCTCTATAGCACAGAGTCTTGACTAGTGTTCGTTTAAATCTATTTGGACAAAAACTATTAGAGTGTAGGCATTGTCCTTTTCCTGTAGGCTTTCGGTAGATCTACAATTGGTGGATGGTGGCTAGCAGTGGAATCCAGGATGCGCATTTCGTCCTATTTGGGACTCGTCAGCTGGATGTACCTGCATTTCTCAGTGAGTGATGACGTTCCCACCGAAGCTCGAACCCAGTATGCTATTCGGTAGATCTACTTCATAAGGATCTTTGGGTTGTAAGCAGCTGATGAGAAGCCAACGAAATGAACAATGATGGTGCCATTTTATTCTACAAAAACTGTGTTGTTCTTACTTTATTTAGACTGATATCTGTAAGAAAACCATAGATAATTGAATGCACTAGAGAAAGCTGTTTTGTTGTATTTTCGAACTGTTCGGATTTCCCTACCCATGACCAACTGGTAGGTGTTGGACCAACGGCATTTGAAATTACGAGACATGCCTGTTGTGCTTAATATCACCAGTTGAAAGAAGTTAGAGTCAATTGGCCGTTTGGCTTCATCCCTATGGATATCTGGTTAATGACCTCATCCAGTAACCTG